AAACGTCGCCGTGGTTTGACTTGACCTGCAGCTGCGTGTACGTCGAGGTCAACTGCGCCATCCGAGGCATTCCTGGAGCTACCATCGACGAGTTCATCGAACCGACCATCATTGGGACGTCGCTGTTCACACTGAACGTTCGGCGGTGCGACCTGCCCCACGGCATTGCCATCGCCGCCCTCCAACCCTTCCACTCGCTCTTTGGTGTGTTCTTGTACATGACCAACCTCTCGGTTTGGCCAGCCGACCCGACGGGCCTGTCGTGGCCACCAACGTTGGCCGCTTTACACGTTCGCGGCAGCCGTTTGCATGAAATCCCCGACGCGTTCTCCGTCTTGCCTCCACACATTGTGTCCTTTCGACTTGAAGGAGGCAACATCTCGACGATTCCAGAGGCAGTCTTTCAAGCGTGGACGAACGTGTCATCGCTGTCGCTCTCGAATCTCCAGCTCACGCGACTGCCAGTGTCGATTTCGAATTTTCACGAATTGGTGTCGTTGGAAATCCGGGGGAATTGGGTCACGACCGTCCCGTGGGTCGCCCGCGATGTGGCCAACCTGCCCATGCTGCAATCGATAGACTTGAGTGCCAACGCGCTGGACCATGTGCCGGTGGATCTCGTTCATCCGAATGTCCGCCTCGAGCTGAGTTCGAATCCCATCGCGGCCGTGCCAACGACGTTGAGTGTACAATACTTGGTGACACGCCAAATCATTTTGGACGATACGCCGTTCTGTGCTTCGACGGGGGCCACGTACTGCAGCCCCAAATGTGCTCGACAATGCGAAACCAAACTCCTCGGCGATTATCGGTGCGATGCCGTGTGCTATTCCCAGGCATGCAGCTGGGACCATGGGGATTGCGCCACGTTTGGGTTCCCAGAGGCGGTGTGACCCCGCGGGCAGGCCAGCAACCTTGACCACGGCCATCGCCAACACACAAACGGATGCAACTTTCCTGGTTTTCGCTGCGGTCTCGCCGTCAAGAAGTGAGCACCGTCCAGAACGAGGACAGCCAGACTTTTCGTAGGCCGAGGAATGCACCAAGCTCTGCCGATACCACGAGGACGCTACCATGTTGGAACGTTCGGCATGTGTCGGTGGCATGCCACGTTGTGGATTGCTGTCCGTGCTGATTCGACTCTCCTGGCTAATGTGACTCTAAATATGGTTGGACGAATGGAAGATGTCGAAGTGCTCTCTCCCACAGAAATGTGGCAGATTTTGTTCTGGTGCCCATCTTGCTGAAGCGGGAACGCCCCCACGCTCGTCTGGAGATTGTACTTGCGCAACTTTGATCCACAGCACTTTGCGCCTTTCGTCGTTACTACAACTGGTCTCGCATAGTTTTCCAATGCTTGCCTTGGCTCCAGCCACCTAGCTGACGTCTGCCTTCTCGTGCTGCGGCATGCGTCGACGTGATGCACTCGAAGGAAGGTGTTGAAGTTCGGTGCTATCCGGCCAAGCCGGTTACAAACTTGGAACCCTGCGTCACTGATTGACATTTCACATGTGTGCATTGCATCTTGCCATGGTCGTCAGCAGTATCATGAAGAGCGTGTTGGAACACTCGTCACTGCTTGCATATGAGTTGAAGAGGGCATTGAAGTCAAAGGATAGCTTAACACTCTTAACTCACTTTTCGATTTGCCTCCTTGGATCAAAGTCGCTTGCACACGCTTGCCGCTGCCCTTCCTCGACCGCCCTATCGAAACAAGATCGCTCAACAGCTTCTGAGCCCAACTACAACGCACTAACAAGGAGGAATACCATGATGGCCATGTCGACGTCCATCAAGCTCAACGAGCACAACTTTCGCGACTGGAAGACCTACTTCCACGGCAGTCTCATGGCCAAGGGTATGTACGATCAACTTTCCGCGTCGCCCCACTCGACGCCGTCGCTCGAAGACCAGAAGGCGTTCGGCATTCACATCGAGACGCTCGACCCTAGTCAATACCGTTATATTCAACACGCGACGCACGTGCGTACCGCGTACGAGGCATTAGTCATCCAACACGAGCCAACTTCGAAGATCGATCGAATCCAAGTTGCTATGGAATGGGCCAAGCTCAGTTGGGACATGCGCCAGGAAACCTTACCAGATTTCATCCATCGCTTCCAAACGCTCGTCGAACGACTTCACGACGTCCGCGCGTCTGAGTCTGAGTCCAATCAAGTGGTGAAGCTCCTCGCCTTAATGCCGTGGGATTTCCGCCACATCGTCGACCGTTTGCCCCACCTTCCGGAGTCCGAACAGACCTTGACGAAAACATAGATCGCTCTCGAGGCCGAATGGAAGGCCGCCGTCCGCAACGGCGCCATCAAGTTGCCACGCGGGCACTCCAACGATGATCGCGCCCTGCTTGCAGAAGGAGGACGTGGCAGTCGCGGCGGCGGTGCTCGAGGACGAGGCCATGGCCGAGGATCCAATCGCGATCGCAAACTGTCGGGCAACCAAGACGGAGCCAAAGCTGGCAACTGCCACTACTGTGGCAAAGACGGCCACTGGCAAAGCGAGTGCCGCAAGAAGGCACGCGACGCAGGGCAACCGACCAAGAATAGCGGCCCAAGCTCCAAGGACGACCAGTCCAACACGGCTAACGTCTTCATGTTCGCCGTAGAAGACATGGACATGTCATCGCTCTCCTCCAACAACGGCGATGAGGACATGCAATACAACATCGAAAACGTACACGAAGTCCTGGGTGAACTGGGGGAACCGATGGAGATCAATGATCCCACTTGGAGCGCGCATACCCGTCTACGACCTGCAATCACCCTCGACGGAGGGCGCTACGAATGCACGTTCACGTCCCGCACTGAACTCGAAACCAAATCTGAAGGCGATGAATCCATGGTTGCCCATGACGAAGGGAGCAACCCCATCGCCCACCGCATCATTGTTGATTCCGGCGCCTCGGCTCACATGACCGGCGCCGCCAAGCACTTGTACGACCGCGAGAAGTGCCATCGCCAAGTCGTAGTTGCGAACGGCGGCGTCACCGTCGCTACAACATTGGGCAAACTCAACATCACCACGCCCAACAAGACTGTGCTCACCTTGACCGACGTACTGCTGGTCGACGGTATGACAACTACGCTGTTGTCTATCCCGGCACTCATGCGCACCAACGATCGTATCACGGTGGAATTCCACCGCTCAACATGCACGATCCTACACTCACGTAAGCCGGTCGCTCACGCTACAATGGGTCAAGACCAGCGACTGTACCTGCTGGACGGCGTTTTCACCCTTGATCACGCCTGTCACGCGATTGCTGACGCCACCACGCTCTGGCACCATCGCATCGGACACCTCCCGACACAAGCGCTCCGCGTCTGCGCACAGGCTGGTCTCGGCCTACCATCTCAACTCGCCGACATGGCACGACCGTGCATGGACTGCCCACGCGCCAAGATGCATCGCGTCACCGCCCCTAAGCAAAGCACGCGTGAGTTCATGCCAGGCGAATGCTGGCACTCGGACACAAAAGGACCGCTTCCCACTGCGTCCGTCGGCGGTTGCCGCTACTACACCGTTTACGTCGACGAGGGATCTGGCTTCAAGATCGTGCATTTTGTACACTCGACGGGGGCAGCCATCCAAACAGCGAACTTGCAAACGGTCATCGCGTTCTCGGAACGACAGACCGGGCGCAAGGTCAAAGTGTTCCGCTCGCTCAGATGGGGGCCCCGAGTACTCGTCGCACGACCTCGACACTCTGCTCCAGTCTAAAGGCATCAAGCATGAGTTGTCGTCCGCCGGAGAACCATGGCAGAACGGTGTGGCCTAACGTGCGCACCGTACCTTGATGGAGATGGCTCTCGCCATGCTCACTCACGCCAACCTCCCCGGCCGATGGTGGGCCGAAGCAGTCGACACCGCCGCGTTCATCAGCAACCGTGTCCTACACTCCACTCGGGCAAGCCAACCGCCAATCACGTTGTTCAACGGTCACATACCGACATTGTCCAACATGCGCGTGTTCGGTTGTAAGTGCTTTAAGCTCGTGTCCTATCCCGACCGCCGCAACAAACTCGCTCCTAAAGCAACACTGTGCATCATGATAGGTTACACGGAAAACATGAAGGCATACAAACTCTTTGACGTGGAAAACAACAAGATGACACACGGCGTTCATGTTACCTTTATGGAAACTGAATTCTTCGACGAACCCACTCTACCGAACTCTTTTGACCACGACGACGACGACGATGACGGTGAGCCTGCTACCATCGCTACACACTTCCGTTCCATCACCGGTCGCGCCGCCGCGACTGCACCAACGGCTATCGTAACGGCCGTCGGAAAATTCCGCCAGGTCATTGACAATGCTGTCGATGCCATTCTCCCACCGCACGCACCTACACCCGCACCAGCTTCAATTGCAACACGCCGCGACAGCTTGAATCCGCCCGCCACCGCGCCAACACGACGACATGCGCCACCTACGCGACAACAATACGCGCCAGCAACCGACAACCCACAACGCAAGGCACCTACCCCCGGCTCGCCGCGTCCGTCGCAAACTCTCTCGCACTTCCGACCAGTTCCGTTGTCACAGCTCCGTCAACAACGTCAACAGTCCGCGTCGTTCCGCACATCGCCACACTCGCCACAACCGTATCGCTCGAAACTACAACGCATCCGCGACCAAAGCGCTTGCACCGGCCGCTCGCTTAGCCAAACCATCGCAGACATGAGCGCTCTCACCCCTCCAAGCACGCCAACTCGCACCATGTCGTTCGACCGCGTTGCACCTTCAGTCCCCCGCCGCTCGGAACGCCAACACAAGCCAAACCCACGCTATGCATCGCTTGCCTTAACCTTCCAAAACCCCGACCTTGACCCCAACCTTGCCGCCGCCGCCATGGACCTGAACCTAGAAGGCTACCAACATGACGATTTCATGCGAGAATCAATCTCGACCTACCGCATCGACGGCGTTGAATACGCATGCGCTGCCGCCCAACTCCACCCAGTTCCCAACAGCCACCGCGAAGTCATGTCGTCACCCAATTGGCAACATTGGAAGGACGCTGAAAATGCCGAAGTGAAGCAACTGCTCGCGTTGAAGTGCTGGACCGTCCAAACACCACCGCCAGGACGCAAGATCATCGGCGGACGCTGGACATACGCACGCAAGACCGATGCAGAAGGCAACGTTGTCCGCTGGAAGGCTCGATGGGTCCTCAAGGGGTTCTCACAAACGGCAGGAGTCGATTACGACGAGTCCTCGTCCAACGTCATCAAGATGACGTCGCTTCGAGCAATTTGCGCCGTTGCCACCTCTCGTCGCATGGTCATCGAACAGGCTGATGCAATCAACGCCTACATTCAAGCAACACTCAGCAAACCAATATGGGCCGTCGAGCCCGAAGGTCACGAAACTCACCGTGGAAAAGCTGCGCTAGTCACCATGGCACTGTATGGTCTGAACCAAAGCGGTTTCGAGTTCGAGAAGCACTGCAAGAAGCAGATCGCCGACCTTGGATGGAAGCAAAGCGCCAACGACCCCTGCGTCTTCACCCACGGCCAAGGCGACGACATGGAGTTTCTCGGCACATATGTCGATGACTTCATTGTCGCGGCCCCGACGCAGGCCAAGATGGACGAAACCATGGCCGCGCTCGCATCCAAGATCGAAATCAAGCGACAAAGCCCGTTCCACTACATGTTGGGCATCCGCGTTAGCCGAAATGACAGAGGACCAATTCTCACCATGTCCCAAGACGCGTACACTGCAAAGGTACTGGAGCGCTTCGGCATGACGAACTGCCACCCCGTCGCGACGCCGGAAGTCGCCGGTCAAGAAGACCTATGGCATGACGAAGATCAACCAAGTGTCGATCAAGGGGAGTACCGAGCCATCATCGGGTCGCTGGTATACCTGATGGTCTGCACCCGTCCCGACATTGCTCACGCTGTCCAACGTCTGTCCTGTCATCTTCACGCCCCTCGTGCACCTCACCTCGTCGGTGCCAAGCGAGTTCTACGATACCTGTCAGGGACTCAAGCATGGGGGATCAAATTCGGTTCAGGGGAGCCTACCTTGAGTGGATACTGCGACGCGAGTTGGGCAACTCGACCGGACCGCCGCTCAACAACAGGCTTCTTGTGGTCGTTTCTCGGTGGCATCTTGATGTGGAAGAGCATTCGCCAGCGCATCACCGCCCTATCCAGCTGTGAGGCAGAGTACATCGCTGCTGCTGAAGCCGCCCGCGAGTCAACCTGGCTGCGCGGTCTGATGGCTGACCTCGGCGTCACCGCCGACAACTTGACCCTCAACTGCGACAACATGTCCGCGATCGCGACATCCAAGTCCACGGGGATCAACGAACGAAGCACATTGACGTCCGCCACCACTACCTCCGCCAACTGGTCCAAAGCGGGGCCCTATCGCTCAAGTTCGTCCCCACGGCCTCCATGTTGGCCGACGCGTTGACAAAATGCGCTACGAAATTCTCCATCGAGCATTTTCGAAAGTGGACAATGACAAACTGCCAGACGACGAGCATTCCGCCCACCTCGTCGCAGCCGAAACCTGTCAAGAAAAATGGTCAAAGTCAGCAGGTTTAGGGGAGTGTTGAAGTTTGGTGCTATCCGGCCAAGCCGGTTACGAACTTGGAACCCTGCGTCACTGATTGACATTTCACACGTGTGCATTGCATCTTGCCATGGTCGTCAGCAGCATCATGAAGAGCGTGTTGGAACACTTGTCGCTGCTTGCATATGAGTTGAAGAGGGCATTGAAGTCAAAGGATAGCTTAACACTCTTAAGTCACATTTCGATTTGCCTCCTTGGATCAAAGTCGCTTACACACGCTTGCCGCTGCCCTTCCTCGACCGCCCTATTGAAACAAGATCGCTCAACAGAAGGACCAGTTTCCTGAACCACTGATAACATACGAGATTGTTCAGGTCAGTTAAGGAAGCGCTGACATTGTGTCGCGGTGTGTTTTACCGACACGACTTCTACGGGATACCGAAGATCCGTAGAGTGCGTGTCGGAAAGATGGTCATAGGCGACTACAGCTGAAGCAGCTTCCGATCGGGTTCAGCATCGGTGAGTAGGGGCCAAGGCGCAGCAGCGTCATGTCATCGTGTTGGACAACGCGACTTTC